CAGAGAGAGACACAGAGGCGAAGACAGTGAGAGAACAGAGACCCGAATTCAAATCCTGCCAAAGACACTAATACTAACTATGTGACCCTGGGCAAGTCATTTAACCTTAGTTAGCCTCAATTCTCTCATCTGTAAAATGGGGGCTATAATAGCATCTACCTCATGGGATTGTTGTAAGAAGCAAATGAGATACTCTACATGTAAAGGGCTTTGCAAACCTTCAAGTGCTATAGAAACGTTAGCTAGCATACACACAAACATGTATAGATTTAGAGCTGAGAGGGATCTCAGAGGCCAGCTAGCCCAACTCCTTCATTTTCTATATGGGAAACTGAGGCCCAGGAAAGTGATGTCATTTGCCCAAGGTCACCTAGCAGATCAAATGAGATAATACATGTAAAGTGCTTTGAAAACTTCACACAAGCATTATATTTTATATTATATCATGTCTGTAAGTGTGCATGTATATATATGCTAGAGAAATGTTAGTTATTCTTAGTAAGAAACTGGTCTTCTCACTGTTCCTCACACACACCATTCTGTCTCCCACAGTCTATTCTCCATGCTTGGAACACTCTCCCTCACTGCTTCTGTCTCAGAATCCCTCATTTCCTTCAAAGCACAGCTCAGAGGCTACTTCGTACACCACCATGCCTATTCTGGTTCCCCAGATGATCTTTCTTGAAATGTCCCTCCCCCCTTCGCTGCCCCTCCCCTCACTGTGTATAAGCTCCTAGAGGGTAGGGGCTGCTTTGTCTAGTGTCTGGCGCAGAGTGGGCACTTTAGGGGAAGCTAGGGGGCAAAGCGGATAGCGTGCTTAGCCTGAAGTCAGGAAGCCTTGAGTTCCAATCTGGCTTCAGACTAGCTGTGTGACCCACCTCCCAGGGTTGTCGTGAGCATCAAATAAGTTAATATTTGTAAGCACTTTGCAAGTGTTAGAGTGCTATATAAAATGCTAGCTATTATTAATAAATAATATTTATGTAACGAATTGTTCAAAAGGAAAAGGTCCCCTTTAGGACAGAGAACAAGGGCCTTCACTCTTCGACGTCCAGTCTTCCCCTTCTTCTCTAATCTGAGTTTCAGAAGAGCTCCAGTGAAGGTCACTCAGACTTGGTGAGTGCCCTGGTCTTTCAAGCCCCTCAGAAGGTGGCATCGGGCTTTCTTGTGCCCAGTGCCCTACATAGCCTGCACTGGCCGGAGAAGAGGCCTCAGGAACACACAAATCTGTTGACAAGACTGTTCCTTTGCCTTTCAGAACTCCTCTTCCTCCCCCTCCCAGCCTTTGGGCTGAGGGGTCTCACTGGAGAACCTCCCTTTCCCCATCCATAAGGACACCTTATCTCCAAGGTCATCTCTCCATTTCAAGCCCTTTTTAAAGTCTAATTGCTGCAGAAGGGGGAACGCTTGCCAGTGGGTCCCAGCCGTTGGTGGCCAACGAGGCCAGGTCTTTTACTGGGATATTCTTGTGGGGCAAAGGCCTTTGGGCATCAGTGCAGTGAGACTTGGGCTGATGATCATGTCATCTGCTCTCAGTGTCCAGATGTGCTTGGGTCCTGCATGGCCTAGCAGAGGTAGCATGGTATCATGGAAAGAACACCCAGGCTTTGCAGTCAGAGTGCCTGGGATCAAATCTCAGCTCTGCTAGGATCATAGAATCGTAGGCTTACAGATGGAAGAGACCTTAGCCACTGGCTAGCCCAACCCTTTCATTTTACAAATGAGGAAACCGAGGCCCAGGAAGATGAAGTGATTCGTGGTTGTAGGATCACAGGGAGATTATTGAGTCCACCTCTGCTCATTTCATAGAGGAAACAGAGGCCCAGGGAAGGGAAGTACTTGTCTGGGCCACAAACTTAGTAAGTAGCTAAGATAGGCTGTGAACCCAGGTCCTCCTGTCTCAAAATCTAGTGCTCTGGTCACACCAAGCTGCCTCTTGAGTTCTGCCAGGCCGTTCACATGTAGCACCATAGATTTGGACCAGAAAGGGACCTTAGAGGTCATCTAGTTCAACCCTTTCATTTTATAGATGAGTAAACTGAGCCTGAGAGACGTTAAGTGTCTTGCTCATGGTCACCTAACTAGTAAGTGATTGAGGCTGCGCTTAAACAGAGGATTTCCTGACTCAAAGTTCAGTGCTCCATCTACTACATCATGTTACCTCTCAGCCATATAAGAGCTCTGTGATCTTGGGCAAGTCATTACCCCTCTTGGGGCCTCAGTTTATCCATCTGTAAAATGAAAGGATGGGGCCTTTTGGGCTCTAAATCCTGTAGTCCTGTGGTTGTCAGTCATCTGTGGTTTGATCTCTGCATACACACAGCAAATCTCAGAGCATTTAGGTGATTGTCCAGACAAAGATACTAATTTTCAGATGGATATACTAGATATGGCAGATAAAAGGGTTTTTTTTTTGGCTGGAGTTGTTTGGACAATGACTCTGGCATTTCTCAGGTACTATACAGCTCTAATTTCTATGGTTCTAGGTATAGCAAATTGGGAAAAGTCTAGAATGGTACCATTCCTAAAGGATGGCTTGATCATCACACACTCTTGGGGGTAGGGCTGGGATAGGGAGGTGTGAAGGCCAGCTTAGGTAGCATGGAGGAGAGTGGCCTGGATATTCTCTCTCCACCCAACTTCTGGTGAGCAATTAGAAAGCTCTGGCTCAGAGATAGAGACTATTGCAGCTGGGAGGGGTCTTAGAGATCATTTAGTGTGACACCCCTCATTTTATAGAGGGGGAAATTGAGGCCCCCATAAAATGTCTTCACTTCATGGGTTCATAGGATTTAGAGCTATCAGGGACTTTAAATTAGTCTAATCCCCTCATTTTATAGAGAAGGAAATTGAAGCCTAGAGAGAGGAAAGGACTTGCCCAGTGTTCCAGAGCTTGGCAGAGCTGGGATTAGAACCCCAACGTGTAAGATTCTAATCTGTCCAATGAAGGACTGGCAGAGTGGGCTTGGCATAAGAAACTGAAAAAAGGTTGTCTTTTTTAAAGTTAACTGTTGTAAATTCAAGGAACATGCTACCCCATTTCTATTTCCCATGCAGCAATTGGCCAAACCTTGCGGTAGCACATTTAAGAATGCACTTCTACAGGATTTACTCACGCAGGTTGCTTTAATCCCAATGTTGATTTACTTTAGATGGTCAGCATCAAAGCAAGCAGTTGGACCCTTTATCTAGGATCCAAATGAGATGATGTTGGGAGAGTGCTTTGCAAACCTTAAAGTCTACATAAATGTCAGCTCCGATTATTATTACCATCAGGGGCCTGATTCCTGCACTACGAGAGAGAGGATGACTTATCTTTTCCTTTTTGCCTGATGTCTTTCCTTATCTAATGTGCTGTGCTCAGAGCAATTTCTAAGGTGCCTTTTAGGTCTCAGTCCTAGGGTCCCCTGGATCCTATAGAGTGACAATTAAGTCCATGACCCACCCCCTAGACAAACATGCTTTCCTTCTCCGATCACCTGAGCACAACTCAAGGCCAGCCAAGTCCCTTGGCATCATTCTGTCTGGTCCAATTACCCAATGACAAAGATGACTGCAGTGAAAATCAGAATGGTCCTTCCATCATCTCTCCCAGCTGTCACCCCCTCCTCTCTGTCAGTTCTGTTAAGGGCACAGATGATAGCTTTTTGTATCCCCTTCCTAATGGACATTCTGCTTCTCCCACTAAAGTGGGGGTCTTAGACCCAGTGGAGAACATCTCTCCCAAGAATCAAATACACATACTCTCCCAAATAATATAAAACGCAGCCACTGAGAGACAATCTGAAAAATTGCCTTGGAATATTAAGGATCATCATATATCATCTATAACTAGTTGCATCTATATGTCAGTCAGTCAACAAGCATTTATTAGGCACTCACTATGTCCAGGCACTGTACTGAGTGCTGGGGATACAATGAAAAGGAAAAACAGCCCCTATCGTCAAGGAATTTATATTCTAATGGGAAAGAGGGAAAGAAATAAGCATTTATTAAGCACGTATACTTTACAAATGTGATTTCATTCATCCTTACAAAAACCTTGTGAGGTAGGTGCTATTATTTATTATCCCCATTTTACAGCTGTGGAAACTGAGGCAGACAGAGGTTAAGTGACTTTGCTTAAGGTCACACAACTAGTGTCTGAGACTGGATTTGAACTGAGGTCTTCCTGACTTCATGCCCATCGCTCTATCCACTGCACCACCTAGCTATCTAATGAGGAGATAATATGCAAATAAATATGTACACACAAGATATACACAGTATAAATGGAAGGTAATTTCAGGTATATCTATATCTAAGTTCAAGTTCCATCTCTGGCTTAGGTATAGTAAGAAGTTGTGATAATGCCTGAAACAATACAAATCATATAACTCAGAGGAAAGTAGGTCCCTATTCCTGGGACCTACTGCCCATTTCTCCTTTCACTGGTGCCAGCATCAAGGTTGAGTCCTCAAGGAAGACTGGCCAGAAGACTGAGTTTTACTAGTATTGTTGGCAGAAGTTTTTCCCCTGGGAGTTTCTTAAACCAATGAAATCATAGGACTAGTTAAAAAAAAAACTCAACTATATCTATGTCTATGTCTATATCTATTTCAGTATCTGTGTCTGTATCTGAATATTTAGACCAATTCAAAGGGACATCTATATACATTTGAAAAGAAAATCCACTTCCAACAAGGAATAACTTGCTTTCCTGTAACCTCTCAGCAACTGAGTCAGACTCAGATCCCTGTAGCATCTTAACCCTTTGTGGTATTTCAACTGTGGGAAATGGAGTACACTGAGGCACCGGTTGGGATTGGTCCCATTTTTAAGGTCAGAACTCCAGGTACTGGCAAAGCACTACTACTTCAAAGACCAGTTCCATGCCTTCTTCTCTCCTTTGCCCCTCCCCCCTTGGAAATACCATATCTTTTTTTTTAAACAATTTAATGATTTGAACATAACAACAAAACCCAAAAGAAGCAGGCCCAATCAAGTAAAAAGTCACTTACCCGGAAGAATTCTTTGGTCGAGCCTGAATCCAGGGTTCCATAGGCAATCTCAGTCTGCTTGGCCAGATCCTCCGCACTCTCTATGGGTGACACCATCCTCTCCACAGTTAGGAAGGCAGCGAGGTTGGCGGTATAGGAGGAGATGATGATGAGGGTGAAGAACCACCAAACTCCTCCAACAATTCTGCCCGAGAGAGATCTGCAAAATAAAAGCCGAGACAAAACCCAACCCAGAGGGGTTGATAAATCCATGGAATTACTTTTGGTTAATGCAATTACAATTCATCAAAGGAGGCAGGTGATATGAGGGTACACATGTGAGAAAGCCTTTGCCTGAAATAGCATGATGCCAGAATGGATGCTTATTTTGGGCACCAAAATATTGGGGTTTGTTTTTTATTTAGGAAAGCCTTTCTTGTCTATACTGTTTGCCCCCAGCCATGGTACCATGGCCAGTGACCATCACACTGTCTGCCACACCCAGGGGGAAAAAGTCCTTTTGGTCTACAGGACTGGGTGCTGGATTTGGAGTCAGAAAGACTTGGGTTCATATCCCACCTCAGACACTTATTAACTGTGTGACCTGAGGCAACTTAACCTCTTAATCTTTCTGGGCCTAGTTTCCTCATCTGTAAAATGTGGGAGTGGGACTTGATGCACTTTGAGGCCCCTTCCAGCTCTAGATCTAGGATCTCATGTGTGACCTTGGGCAAGTCCCTTCCCTTCCCTGGACCTGTTTCCTCTTCTGTAAAATGAAGGGTATGGAGTAGGTGACTTCTGACATCCCTTCTAGCTGGAGATTTCTCCATGATCTTTTAAGGAGAGATTTTGAGGGGAGAAAATAAAGAAGCAACAGCCTTCCTCACTACAAGGGGAATGGAAACATATAAATGAAATTGTTGCCCACCGGTGGAGAGCCCAGATAAGAAATTTAATAGTGCTGAAGTTCAGTCAGGCCCAGCCTTTCCATTTAAAGAGTAGTTATACATGGAGAAAGGAGCCAGAAAATACTATGTATTTCTTTTTCTTGAAATAAATAGCTGTTGAGACTTAGCATCTCTCACACAGGTCACCACAGAGAATAAAAATCTCCTTCTATTGAGGCTGAACACCAATTCTAGACAGTCTATGGGCCTCCTTTCCAATTCAATTCTTTGCCTTGCTGCAGGGGCCTAAAACCTTCTGGGTTACAAACCAAGCCATTGTTAATGGGCAGTTCTCACTTAGAGTAAAGTAAGGGCATATCTACATAATAGAATCTGAGTGGTACTGCCTTTCAAAATCTCCCCCATTGACCTGCCCTGGTGCATGATCGAAGGTCTACCACGAGAGCACTTTCTTTGAGTTGTCACTGTCTCTGGAAGGCTCCTGTAAAATGTGACTATACAACCAGGATGATGTGGAAATTGGATGTCACTCCATACATGGAGATGTGAAGCTTAGAGAAGATCTGGAGGCGGGGAGGGGCATGATAGCTATCTTTAAGTATTCGAAAGGCTGTCATGGGGAAGGGGGACAATAGTACTTTATCATGGAGGGTCCCTTGCCCACCAAAAAAGTACAGGAAGAGGATGATTGTAATAAAGTTCAAGAAAAGGCTTGTGGGGAGGACATGAAGCAGTGGAAAGAACTCTGGATGCCCTAGATTTGAATACCACCTTTTTAACTTGCTACATTTGGCAAATCTCTTCCCCAGTCTGGGTCTTGGTTTCCCCATCTGTAAAATGAGGGAGTTTGAATCAAACCCATATGAGGTCTCAACCCACAGTTTAAGAAGCACTGAAGGGGTCACGAGCGGACAAAGTTTAAGGAGTCCTGGACTAGATGATCACTAAGGTCCCTTAGCTCAGAGGTATTAAACACGTGTGAGGCCCACAACACTACCAAAAGAGGCCTGAACCAGGTTAAAATGTAATTGAGAAGTATTTAACAAAATAAATAAAAATGCAATAAATACATTTTAAAACTAAGTCAATACGCAGCCTATAGGGATTCATATGGATGGGTTAGTGGCTCCTGCTTCCATTTGAGTTTGGCACCACCGATTTAGCTGATCTCAGCCTCTGTCCCTCTGACTGGAGGGTGGTGCTGTGAACCCAAACCTCCATTTAAGGAGAGAGCTCAGCTCAAACATCTCGTTTCTCATCAGGCTGTGCTACTTTGGGACGTCTCTGACTGACTCTCCACCATGCTCCCTCAATGGTTATCTTCTCTTCCTCCTCCCCCACATTTTGGATTTTGGCATTTTGTCTTCCTTCCTTAGACTGTAAGCTTTTTGAGGCAGGGACTATCTTTCTTTTTTATATTTGTATCCCCAACAAAAATAAAAAAATAAAAATATTTGTAATAAAATTACACATTTTTAATTTGTAATAAATTAATTTGTAATAACTTTGTAATAAAATTTGTAATGAAATTTGTAATAAAAATACTGACTTTGAAGTTGGGGAAGACCTGGGCTCAAGTTCTTCTATGTGACCCTGGCCAAGTCACTTAACCTCTCAATGTCCTGGGTGGCTCTCAACAACTAAGTTGACGATGAATCGCCAGTCTTCATTGGCGGATGGAGTTTCCCACCAAGTAGTTCCTTATATTGATGAAATCACAAGTCCACACCTCCTTCAGAGAGAGGCCCCATGGTGGATGAGAAGATTTGAAAGGGTCGTGATCTGTCCCCATGAAAGTAGTGCTCATGTTGGATGGAAAGAGATCCATCTTAACATTGAGTCATGGTTACAAAACCCACTCTATTTTTCAAGGCCTCTACTCCTGCTGCTTAGCTTTGTTCTCTGGCTATACAAAATGGATTATTTATTTAATTCTTTCCTGAACACAAACACTTCAAGCCCCTCCAACATGAAAAGCCACTTTGCTAACAGGTTTTTGCCAACTAATAATTATTCTCTCTCAGGGTTGCAGTGGGAGAACGTTTCCCTTGCAGGGAAGAAAAACATCTGGATGACTCAGAGATGAATGTTACACTTCTGGACACCAAAAATACATGGAATGTTTCTTTTATAAAGCTGGACCTTCTTATAAACTGTTTTTCCTTTTTTGGGGGGGGGGGCATGTGTGCATTTAATTAGTTCCTGACTGATCTGGATGGCTTTAGAAACAATTATTAGTGTATAAGGGATTAATCCCTGTAAGTATCTTCGCTTTGTTAATCAGTAAGAAAATATCTCTCCTTTGTGGTTCCAAGAGGAGAGAAATGGGAATGGTGAGCGATTTCTGGAAGATGCCATTTTGTTATTCACACTGAAAATTCACTTAAAGGTACAGGAGAGCCAAAGCCATTCTGAGAATGGAAAAGGGCCTATTCTTTCCTTGACAATGGAGTGAGATTGTCATTGGGAGGAGTGGGCTTTGACAGTCTTAGGGGAGGACATATTTGGGAGGCCTTCGGGGGTTACAATGGGACCCACAAGGGTGAACATTCCGCCTCTGGGAACCAGGGTGCAAACTCACAGGTGGTTCCGCATGGTGCACTTGTGATGGAGGGAAGGGAACAGAGAGGGCCTTTTGGAAGACATGGCACACAGCATGAATGTATTGGTCCAAGGTGCTCCCAAACCAGGGCTATGGTTCTTTTGACCAGCTCCACAGTTGATTCAGAGATGGTTGATTCAAATGACCAGGTAAAATATCCAAATCCACTGGAAAATGGTCACCAAAGTGGCCATGAATGTCTATGTCTACTTTGCTACTGAATTTGGCAATTATGAGGATAATTTTTTTCTGCATTTCTTTGCATATGGGGGTACCTACATACCAAAAATACAGCAGTCATTGCCAATCTCTAATTACAAATTCCTTGCTACATTGGACTCCAGTACAGAGAGACCAAGAATCTGACATGATCAAAAAAATCCTAGTCCACTGGAAAATGTCCAATAAGGTGGTCATAGATACCTATATCTACTAGGCTACTGATTTTGACCATCATGCTGATAATGCCTCTCTTTTGGAATCCATATGAGATTTAGAAGTTGTAGTTTCCACATCCCCCCTCTACCCAAGTAGCTCTGGCAAGGACTCCTTTTTGACATTCTCACTACTCTCTCCCTATATACTTGTGAAGGGCTATCAGTTCCTTGGAGGTAGAGGTGGGGGATGGCAGTTCAGCTCCTATGAGAGGAATGAGCTGCATATCCATTTACACGTTAAGTTATTTTCCTCACTGCAAATGATTATGACCACATCTCAAACGGCAGCCATAGCTAAACAAAGCGACATTGATGGGCGAGTCCTGTCACTTTTGACAAAAGCTCTATTAAAAACAGACAAAACTATAGAGTTGCATTAAAAGGCCTGTCACCTTTCAAAATGTCATTTCCCCCCTTTACTAAATTGGCACGTTGCTTAATGTTCATTTCAGACCAAGTTTTCGTGCATGAGACAGATCTTAAAGTTACTATAATGAAACGGCTTTCCAACACCGGCACTTCCTACGCCTGTAATGGGGCATTCTAATCAGTGAATCATACTTGGGAGGATTGAGGTAGCAGGAAGTTAAAGCAAATTAGAAGCAAGAGAAAGGAGAGTGGCCAAACAAAAAATTCTGGAAGATTGAGCCAATAACAAACACTGTACTTGTTATCTGTCGAGCACAAGAAACTCTGATTTCCAAGTTAATCATAAAATGCATTTTATAACCTCTGATAGGGTGCTAAAAGTGAGGGATGGGCCCTTAACCTTCCTCCTATAAGAAAATATATAAATCTCCACTTTGCTAACAAAGAAGTGCCCAAATTGTAAATCCATTTCTCTTTTACATAGACTCTTGGTAATTCTTTTTTTTTTTAATCTCGTTTTTCCAAGAATATACTCCATTTTCATACTGCTCGCTGTTCCACGGCTGCGACTGATTGAGGAGAGGATAAAAAACCAAAACAAAACACCCAAAATCCAAAACGTGCAGAATCAATCATCAGCTCTTACGGTTCTTTCTGATGGGAAAAAGGAACTGTGTCCCTGAGATGGAAAATGTTGGCTTTTAGCCATAGACCTTGTGAAATGGTTGTAATAAAAATGTTACTATTACATCATCTATTTATTATCCTGGCTCCCCTAAAGTGAATTTGCAGCAGGAAGAAGAGGTGCTGGCTGTATATCAGAAGACGAAAGGATATTGCTTAAGGTGAGCAAAAAAAGAAAGAAACCCTCCTCCCCCATCCCTGCTGTCTTTATTGTTATGTT